CGCCTGGCCAAAGGGAACAAGAATAAAGCTAATGTAAGGAAATTTTGGCAGCAACGAATACAACAAATCAGCGTAGGCGGTATTAGTCATGAAGTTGGTTGCTCCAACCAGGAGCACAAACGTCTTGCCGAACTTGATACAATTTGTATTGAGCAGGCAGTGGTGCTTTCTTTCAGGTTTGCCGAGCGGAAGGTGCTACGTGCTCCTCGTGTGCTCCGGATGGCAATCGTGAGTCAGTCAAGTGTCAAGTTCGGCAAGAAGCGTGTGCTCCTCGTTGGAGCAACCAACTTTAGTACCATTATGACACACCAATATACTCTACAAAAAATAAGTCACTTTCAAACATCGAACTTTACGTGCGGAAACTCATTTTAATATTCAGATACAAGGGCATACGTTTTCGATATCCACCTCGCATAATCCTTGGACTTTTTAACAGAGAGCGTGTCGTAATTTGCAATCACCTGTGTCCCACAGATGAAGCTGTATGCGCTGATAGGCTTACAGTGTGTGCGTCGCAAACTTGCCTCACCCAATGCCAGGCTTGCACTGTAAGTAGAGAAAGTATTGCGTCAACCTCAACTGCAGGACTGAAACGAACACAATTTCTCAGCAATCGAACGTTCTTGACTCTAACGAACGAACGAATGAACAAACAAATGTTCTTGATTGATAATTCATGCAAATCGTCAGGTGTCTGACAAGGGCATGAATACCCCGCCACATGATACAGGCAAAAAAGTATACTTCAGAGAGGAAACCAACGCCATTGACATAAAAACCTTAAGCGACCTTGCTTCGCTCTCCGTTGAGAGCAACATCGCCCCAGAAACGCTGTCAGATGGCTCCGTAAGGTTGCACGCATGCCGCGCTGTGCTGCCCCTCACTCGGGTAAATAGAAAGCCGATGGTCCAAATATTTGTCTCTGTGAGACTATTTACACGGGGATTGCTCTCCGCATCTTCTAAACCATAACTGGCATAAACACTGTGTGTCCATCGCACTTATACTCACATACCAACAGGAGTAGCATATCGGGATTGTTGGTCTCGCACTTTGCTGATTGTAATAAAACATTTGTGTCGAGCATGTTGGGAAAAAAATTTCAGTTCTAATATTTGTTACCTCGCAAATGTTCATTCTGCAAAGCTAAATTAACGAATATTTGAATAGTCGAGATACTCATTTCAGCCCTATCCTAAAGCATGTCTCATGCACGGCTTTCCCTTCCCAATGGTGCATGATTCTCCCACAATTGCGTTTTTGGACCAAATTATTGATTACAAAATTTCCCATGCGGGCTATTGTGGGTAAAATGGCTAAAAAAGGCTTTTGAGAAGAATATCATATTTTGTCATCTTGATTTTGATTGTGAAGGGCTGCACTAAAACTGCTTTCTTGCTCATGACATTCAACTCCGAAGAAACAATCAAGTTAGAAACAAATCTAAAACATGCGTTTGCAATCAAACCAGTCGTCGCAATCCACGAGACACGGGTATACACAACACAAAGAAAGAATGAAACCATGGACCTACATTTTTATCCTTCTCCAGCCGGGTCAGGACACGCGCAGCGAAATCTTTCCTCTTCCGCGCCGGTGCCGGCTTGCTCTTCTTCTTTTGGCTGTTCTGCGGCTGTGAGCATCCCTTCTTGCCATTCTTCTGCTTGACATCATAGCAATACAGGCACACAACAACAGACCACGGTCGTCATAGCAATACAGGCACACAACAACAGACCACGGTCATCATACCCCTCACACACCTAGCCAATAAAAAAAATCATCCACATGGATCACTGCATTCTCAATCAAATATTGTCTACTTTTCTTTTCTTTTCATTTTCAATTATCCCGTTATCAGCCCTCTTAAGAGTTCAGTATATCACTTTTGAGGCATCCGATGGTAAGAAACATAAATACTAATACTAGTCGTTGACAAGTGACGGCTCTACGGCTTCAGGAAGGCATTGGCTAATGAAATAAAGCTACCCCTACTTGATGGAAGATTGGCACACGCCAAGCTTTAAGCTAGTGTATGGTTTGTCTTGTTCCCACACTGAGAACACCTATCTAACGTATCTTCCCAGTTCCAGAGCAGCGTAGCGCCTCTTGCTATGTTATTTACGAGGTAATATTTCAATGGCCAGTATTTTAGAATCACTACTGTATCCTTAATGTAAGTATTGACCCTCAGGCAGCCTCCTCCTAATCTAGTGCTAACTTTTAAGATCTGGTCAAGATGAAAGAACGTTGAGTAATAGTACAAAGAAGTTGGAGTGCAGAGCAGTACAATTTGAGGAATGGCTGTCAATACATCGTTGTTTTTCATAACATAAGAAACGGATTTTTTAGTAACAAATTCGGCGATAATTATAAGAAAGTTCGTTGCTGTCAATGTTCGAGCTTGCACCTCTCCCACTTTTCCGTAATAACATAACGAGTCCACTGAACAGAAAAGTGGGAAAGGTGCAAGTTCGAACATTGAGAGCAACGAACTTTCTTATAATTATTGCCGAATATGTCACCTTCATTCCATGCACTCCATCATCTCAGCGGCATTGAAAAAAGACAAATTACCAACAACCATACTTCGAAGTAAAACGAACAGCGGCCGGCGCCCAAAATGCATACCATACAATGGTAAAATGTTTGAGATGTAGTTGAATTCGGGAGAGAGAGAGAGGTGTAAACCATCAGTCCTGCTCTACACAGAAGATAATGCATACCTCGGCCTCAGCTGCGATTTTCTCCCCTTTTCCTCCTGGACCATCTGCTCAAACACGTAAGGCCAGTGATCACCCTCAAATTATGGTATATCGGTTGGTACGCTGACTTGATCTTGAAGTTTAGACTGGTGAATATCCTGAAAGATCAAAAAAGTGAGAAAGGATAAACAACATTAGATTGCCAGTATAACAATAGGGATCAAACGGCTACGGTTTTCACCTTAATGGTTAACTGCTACGCTTACAGTCGATTTATCGGAGTACAACCTATAAGCTAGAGCAGTACGGCGTGTAGCTAGTTTGAACAGCATAGTACAATATCCTTGTTTGAAATGTACCGTGCGAAATTACTACTAATACATACAAATGTCTGCTTGCTCATTCACATAGATTCACAGATCAGAAGCACTAGAAAGATGTCATGAAGTTGATTCAAATTGTCATGAAGTTATTTCAAATTGTAACGGAAGGTACTATGTAGTGTACATTGATGCATGTGTGCGTTGGATACCCTTTCGGTGCGCAACTGTCATAAATTCAATACGTAGATCACTAACGCTACACTAACGATACCCTTTCGGTGCACTGGGATCATCTGTATAAACTTCCATGGTGTTGGATAACCTTTGGATGAGGTATCGGTGGCACATAGCTACTCTTGCTACTCTGGAAATCAACAAATTTTCGCCGGTGAGAAACTTTGGCAGATTTAGAAAAGATCGTTCAATAGTTGTTGCCCTCACGTGCAGCCATGGCTGAATTATGCATCATTTGCCTCGATGACAAATTTTGGCCTGCGGTTAATTTTGGCCAATTGGCACCAAGCGGCGGAATCAGCGAAATTAAATCGCCAACGAAAATGAGTTGATTTAGAGCACTTACGCGAAACTCGATAACAATTTACTGCACTGTCCAGCATTGTCTTGTACCACAGTTGTAGAAGCTTATGTGTGAGCATCCTTTGCCCAGGTGGATGACATTGGAAAATATAGTTTTCGTTTTTCCCAGGAGGGCAGGCCCAAAGGTTAACAGCGACAAAGCCTCGCATTGCTACATAGTTCTTATAGGCAATAAGCAGCTCATAATACACTTGAGTACGCAACTGCTTTGGCCGGAAGAAATGGACACTGTCCAGATACGAAAGGTATACACACCTACAATATAAATACGCAGAGAACAGAGAGCAAGTCTTGAAGAGATTTCACTCAGCAGTCAACGGTGTTTCATGTAGTCCATGCACTTGTACAGCAAACTAAACAAAGTCAAAGTCGAGAGAGAGAGAGAGAGAGAGAGAGAGAGAGAGAAAGAGAGAGAGAGAGAGAGAGAGAGAGAGAGGGAGAGAGAGAGAGAGAGAAAGAGAGAGAGAGAGAGAGAGAGAGAGAGAGAGAGAGAGAGAGAGAGACAGAGAGACAGAGACAGAGACAGACAGAGAGAGACAGAGAGACAGACAGACAGACAGAGGGAGAGAGAGAGAGAGAGAGAGAGAGCCCGTGTGCGATAGAGAGAGAGAGAGAGAGAAATAGAAAGAGAGAGAGAATGAGAGCAGGAGCACAAGATGGATATAGATCTTACCACCTATTAGGCTCGGGACAGTCAGAATCAAACTCATGCACGATCATGCCAAAGAAGCACACGTCCTTGCCATCAATTTCCACAAAAGCAAAGACAGACTTTGCTACATAAGGAAACTCCTCTGGGAAAGATGTAGCACTTAGCTCCTCAAACCTGGCATTAATGGAAGAAACATACACATACACGCACATGTACACAGAAACACACACACAGAGTTGAGTATAATGAAAAAGGCTGGCTTGTATGACAGATGTATGATGATTTGTGAAAACTCTCCGCACTAACAGAGGTCCATATGAATGAGCAATACTAGGACACAGCGATAGACAGGTGGTACCCAGTATATTGCTTCTAGCCACAAGGAAAACACTGAAAAACATACCAGAGATTCCTGCCCGTTTTCTTGAAGTACCCTTAGATCTTTTTTTCTTGCTTGAGAATACAGTCGGTATACTATGGTTCGCACATTCTTTGGTGCACTATTTGCTGATCAAACCTTATGACGGCACAGAACCTTGATAGGTAGAATGTCATATACAGCAAAGTGAATAAACAAAAGCCACACCCTAGATTGATTTGGAGAGGGCTCTTACGACAATATAATTATGTCTAAATATGCGTGGAATATATGGAAAAAAAACCAACAACAGCACCAGATCACAACTGCCACCAACAACAGACATTACTTACTTTTCTTTGGTGGCATCTTTGACCTTCACTGTCTGCTTGCTGCTGGAGAGCACACGGATGTGAACGTGGCCAGCTTCACGGTTAGTGTCAGCAGTTGTAAGGTAAGCGTTGATTCTCTCCTCAAGGTATGTAGCCAGAGCATTGCGCGGCAGTGCTACAAACAACAAGAGAAAAAGTCATGAACAAATATTTAGGTTTTCTTCAGGTGAACAATAAGACCAGTATCAATGCCCAGATTTCGCACATTCCAGATAACCCAATAACCAACCCAGTCGTACTCCCTCTCCGCTCTCTCTCTCTCTCACTCTCTCTCACCTTCTCTCTCACTCACTCTCTCTCTCTCTCTGTCACTCTCACTTTCTCTCTCACTATCTCTTACACTCACTCTCACTCTCTTTCTCTCACTCACTCTTTCACTCACTCACTCTCACTCTCTCCGTCTTTCTTTCTCTCTATCTATCTCTATCTATCTCTCTATCTCTCTCTCTATCTCTCTCTATTTCCCTGCATCTCTTCGTATTTCTCTGTATTTTTCTCTCTCTCTCACTCTCACTCCCTCCCTCACTCACTCTCCCTCACTCACTCTCACTCTCTCTCTCTCTCTCTCTCTCTCTCTCTCTCTCTCTCTCTCTCTCTCTCTCTCTCTCTCTCTCTCTCTCTCTCTCTCTCTCTCTCTCCCTCCCTCCCTCCCCCCTCTCTCTCTCTCTCTCTCTCTCTCTCTCTCTCTCTCTCTCTCTCTCTCTCTCTCTCTCTCTCTCTCTCTCTCTCTCTCTCTCTCTCTCTCTCTCTCGCGTGTGCTTTTCATTGGAGCAACCAACTGATTGTAGTAAAAATTTGTGTCAAGCATATTGGGAAAAAAATTCAGTTCTAATATTCGTTACCTCACAAATGTTCATTCTGCAAAGCTAAATTAATGAATATTTGAATAGTCGAGATACTCGTTTCAGCCCTATCCTAAAGCATGTTTCATGCACGGCTTTCCCTTCCCAATGGTGCATGATTCTCCCACAAATGCGTATTTCGACCAAATTATTGATTTCAAAATTTCCCATGAGGGCCATTGTGGGTAAAATGGCTAAATAAGGCTTTTGAGAAGAATTTCATAGCTTGATTTTGATTGTGAAGGGCTGCACTAAAACTGATATTCTTGCTCATGATATTCAACTCCGAAGAAACAATCAAGTTGGAAACAAATCTAAAAAATGCATTTGCAATCAAACCAGTCGTCGCACTCCACGAGACACAGGTATACGCAGTGCAAAGAAAGAGTGAGACCATGGACCTACATTTTTAGCCTTCTCCAGCTTTGTGAGGACACGCGCAGCGAAATCCTTTCTCTACCGTGCCGGTGCCGGCTTGCTCTTCTTCTTTCGGCCGTACTGCGGCTGGGAGCATCCCTTCTTGCAATTCTTCTGCTTGACATCATAGTAATACAGGCACACAACAACAGACCCGTCATCTCGTCCACAGTCCATGTGTTTTTTTATCCCAGATTAAGTCGAGCTTGTTGTGCTGCCGCTCGTTCTTGTGCAGAACTTGTTGACCCGGCTTGAGGGTGATGGTCGAAGCCGGTTGCGCACTGCGATGGTGGTTCGCCGCCTCGCATTGGCGGGCGCGGAACGCATGCTCCTTGTTCGCCGTGACGGTCGCATCTGGTGCTGGGGCCGTGCACAGGCTGGGGAGAGTGTCCCGGATGCTGCGGATGAACATGATGGTAGCTGGCGGCAGGCCTGTGGCGGGGTAGGGAGTGGCGCGATATGCGAGTAGCCACTCATCAATTACAGCATGCAAATCTCGGCCATCCAGTTGGGCAGCACGGAGGACCTTGCCGATCGTGCAGTTCATCTGCTCCACTGCAGCTTTGGATTGGGGTCAGAGAGGAGGCGTGCAGCGGTGAGCAATGCCCATCTGGGCCAGGAAACGGTTGAACTCCGCCGAGCGGAACTGGGGGCCGTTGTCAGAGACCACTTGTTCTGGCAGGTCGAATGCTGCGAACGCAATGCGGAGCACTGCAAGGACGCCAGCTGTAGCAGGAGTGGAGTTGAACACGTGAGTGACTGGGTAGCGACTCAGTTGGTCCACCGCAACCAAGAGTGTGCTTCAACCTGGCAAGGGGCCATACAGGTCGACAAACACCCGTTGCCATGGCACCGTCGATGGTGGGGTCAGTGTGGATTCCGGCCTGTATGGGCCTGTTGGCGTGTTTGCCTGACAGGAGAGGCATTGGCAGCAGAGAGATTGACGTCATGCCAGGCCACCAGACTTTCGTGTGCAGTCCTTGCTTGGTCCGTGTCATGCCTTGGTGGCCGGAGTGGGCCAGCTGAAGTGTCCGCTCTCGGAGAGACAGTGGAATCACCAGACGATGGTCCTTGAGCAGGGGACCGTCGGCAGCGGAGAGTTCATGCCTTTGCGTGTAGAAAGGGCGGATGTCCACTGCCTTGTCGTCCCACATGCCCGTCTGCAGTGACAGCAGCACGGCCTGGAGCGTTGAGTCTGCTCGAGTTGCGCCTTGGATGTCGGACAAGAGGAGGGCGTTGGGAACAGAGGACTGCGCGATGGCATTGATATAGGCGGTGTCCTCCTCCTCACCAACATTCGGCAGGGGAGGATGTGGCTGAGGGTGACGACTCAAAACGTCTGCTGGGTTGGTAGGGCCAGGTTAAATACACCAGCTTGAAGTGGAGGTCTTGGACCTTGAGAGCCATCCCTTTAATGCGGGGTGGAGGTCGTGAAGACGGGTGAAGCAGCTGTAGAAGGAGCTTGTGGTCAGTGTGGACCGTGAAGCCGGGGTCGCCGCTGAGGAAATGGGAGAAGCGCAAGCAGCCCTACTTCACACCGAGGGCTTCGCGTTCCGTTTGCGAATAACGCTGCTCAGTGGGGTCAGGCTGCGGCTTGCGAATGCGACTGGTTTCAGCTCGGAGTGATCCTGGACGACCGCTTCAGGAGACTGGCAGAGGATGGCGCCAAGGCCAACGGGTGAGGCGTTAACGTAAAGGTGAGTGTGTTAGGTACGGTCGAAGTAGGCGAGGGCCCGATCAGCTGCCATGTCGGCTTTGATGGCATTGAATGGTGCCTGAGCCTCGGGTGACCAATCCCACTGCTGACCCTTGCCAAGGAGTTTCCGCAGGGGTGCCGTCTTGGTGGCCATGTCGGGGATGTAATGGCGCATGAATGTCGCCAAACCCAGGAAACTCTTGATATCGGATGGTGACTTGGGTGTGGCGAAAACAGCAATGCTCTAATTGTGGTGTGGTGCGGCCTGAGTGCCCCGGCGACTGTAGATAGTCGACATGAAGGCCAGGCGGGTTTGGCGAAACTGGCACTTCGCCTGGTTGAGGGTAACATTGTGGACACGTAGGCGTTGCAGGCAGGCGTGCAGGCGCTCATCGTGGACTAGGTTGCGAGCTGCTCATGGAGCTCAGCGATTGCGTCCTCCTGGAAGTGGACAGCCACTTTGGATGGTGCGTGAGCGACAGGGCGGGCGTTGCCATCTACGTAGATATGGGCTTCTACGTCGTTGATGCAGCCGAGGCCCTGGAAGCGGTCGTGGTACTCAGCAAGGTCGTCTGGCATTTGCAGACTTTCGACGCTGTGGACCAGCTGGATGAGGCCAAAACGCATAGCCGTCTCGCGGCCAACGATAGCAGTGGTACGTGGCGCGTGTGCGACAATGAGGAATGTTGCCGTCGAACTCATGGTAGCGGAGGAAACACAGAGGGTGATGCTACACAGAAGAGGAAGAAGTGAAGTTGAGCCGTAAGCAAAGATTTGCACATCCGTTTGCTGAAGTGCTGCACCAGGGGCAACTTTTGCCAGGTCATCAGTATTGACGATATTGTGACTGGCACCACTATCCACCAAGACAGTCAGGGTATGCCGTTGACGTACACGGTGCGCCGGGCATCCTCACGGCAGGGTGCCGTACATATGCGAGGCGGAGAGTCGGTAGAAAACAGCTCTGCGCCAATCTCTAAAGCATGAATAGCATGGTGGCCGCTGTTGACAGCGTGCTGGTCAGAGTGTTGGTGGGGACGGCGTTCCCTGAACGTGAGGGCCTGGATGGCGGAGTCCGATGCGCAGCATGCCGCAGCGAAATGGTTTGGCTTGCCACAGCGGCTACAGAACTGGCCCTTGGCAGCGTCACATGTGGCATGGCCTGGCTTTCCACACCTGTAGCAGGTCAGACCGGATGAGGTAGACTGTGGACACTGGGCTTAGGGCTGGCGTGCAGCTGCGTAGGCGTGGCACTGTGACCCTGAGAGGGCATCCACATGGGCAGGCTGGGGCGCTGCTGATGCCAGGGAAGCGACGTGGGCGTCTTGATGTGAAGCCACTGAAGAGCCCAGAGAGGTGTCCTTGATGGCGAGTACATGGGTGATGCTGGCCTCATACGCGCGGGCTGCTTTCAGAGCTTTGTGGGAGTCGAGGCCATCGATTTCCAGCAGTTTTCGCCGAAGGTCGTTGAACTTGCAGCCGATGATCAGCTGGTCCAAGACAGCCAATTTCTCCGCGGCCGAAACCGGGAAGCCGCTGCGTTTCACGTGGTCGTCCAAACGACAACAGAAACCCTCCATAGTCTCGTTCGGCTGTTGATGAAGCTGACGGAAATTGTACCTGAGGAGCGTTTTGTTTTGGTGTTTATCGAACTCGTCCTGCAACGCTTTGGCGAGGTCGTCGAATGTTGCCCCTGTGTTGCTGAGAGTGGGCACGAGTTGCTGGATGTCGTCTCCTCCCAGGTACTGGAGTAGCCCACGCTGTTGGTCGTCATCGCTAATTTTGGACGCAGCAAGATAAAGTTTGAAACTCCATGTCCAGGCGGGCCAGCGCATGGCGGCATCGTAGAGGGAGACATAAATTGGAAAAGGTCCAGGGGGCGGAATGTCTGGAGTGGCCAAGGAATGCCACAGTGCGTAGGTACACGTGAACACTACAGGTGCCTTCATTGGCTTCAAAGCTTTAATCACCGCCGACCATGTTGCTCCATCGGGTGATAATGGCCGCGTTCCTGATGGCACTTAGCACACTTGTCATAATCCTAGCATAAGGAGGCACAAACACGTACAAAACACAAACACGTACAAAACAACAATCAGATACAGAATGGAGGCAGATCTGGACACTACTGGTGAGTAGAGAACCTGCAATCTGCAGGTGTTGCATGTTGTACAGAAGAAGCTACAGTCATGTGGATTAAAAATTCTGTCGTGTACCTCTATGTACAGTCTACTCTAGAAGAACTAAGAGAACTTGAGACAACAAATACAAACAAAATCTGGAAACACACAGTGGCCAATATGAATATGCAAACTTACGTCACACACTGGGCAATGGAAACGACTTCCAATAATTTCAGCCATGCAGGTATTGCAGCGGTAGCCGATTACATTGACTGGCTTTGCAGCTCGATGAGCATGCACAGTGTAGCGTACTGCGCGTGCCGCAAAGTTGTAAACTCGAGATGATTCTTACGAAAGTACGCAAGAATTGAATCCCGACTCTCCATCACATTGCCGCTTTGCTGCTCGGCCACATCCTCCTGCATGGGTTTAAGGTTGGCAACCTTTTCTGAAGAAATCAGCGTGATGGTGAAGAATGCCTGGCCAAAAGGAACAAGAATAAAGGTAATGTAAGGAAAATTTGGCAGCAACGAATACAAGAAATCAGCGTAGGCGATAATACCAGCAACACCCAAGGAGCTAGTAAGGCCGTCATCACACTTCATTCTCTGGCTTCCCCTTACGTCTGCGTCCACAGTGAAAAATCCAAAACGGGTAGTCGTGTCATCAAACAGGCACAGTTCTTGACCAGTACACGCGGTCATGTTTTGGAGAAATTTGAAGATTCCCACGTACAAGGTCGCTTTTAAACAGACTGTGGGAGATACACCATTTTATACAAAAAAGTGGCCCACTCCCGCTGGCTACCACGTCTACGTTTCCCGTTTCTTCTGCTCCCGCTTTCACTCCGTACATGGATCATCATGACAACCGACCAAAACTTTATGTGGATGTAGACACAGCGCTTTGTACCGTAGTGTGATGACAGTGTAACAGCTGGGGCATAAACTAAGATACTAGTAGAAGGTTCAACAAGAAATGGTTTCACTGAAAGAGTAACACCCAAAGGCAATAATTTTACAAACTAGTACCATTATGAACTTAGAAGTTGCGACTTCGGCGGTACTAGTGATGAAATTGGTTGCTCCAACGAGGAGCACAAACTTCTTGCCGAACTTGACACACTGTGTATTGAGCAGGCAGTGGTGCTTTCTTTCAGGTTTGCCGAGCGGAAGGTGCTACGTGCTTCTCGTGTGCTCCGGATGGCAATCGTGAGTCACTCAAGTGTCTAGGTCGGCAAGAAGCGTGTGCTCCTCGTTGGAGCAACCAACTTTAGTACCATTATGACACACCAATATACTCTACAAAAAATAAGTCACTTTCAAACATCGAATGTTACGTGCGGAAACTCATTTTAATATTCAGATTCAAGGGCATACGTTTTCGATAGCCACCTCGCATAATCAAAGGACGACAGAAAACGTGTCGTAATTTGCAATCACCTGTGTCCCACAGATGAAGCTCTATGTGCTGATGGGCTTACAGTGTGTACGTCGCAAACTTGCCTCACTTATTCCAAAGCTTGCCCTGTAAGTAGAGAGAGTATTGCTACAACCTAAACTGTAGGACTGAAATGAACACAATTTCTCAGCAATCGAACATTCTTGACTCTAACGAACGAACGAACGAACGAACGAACAAATGTTCTTGATTGATAATTCATGCAAATCGTCAGAGTTCTGACAAGGGCATGAATACCCCGCCTCATCATACAGGCAAAAAAGTATACTTCAGGGAGGAAACCAACGCCATTGACATAAAAACCTTCAGCGACCTTGCTTCGCTCTCCGTTGGAAGCAACATCGCCCCAGAAACGCTGTCAGATGGCTCCGTAAGGTTGCACGCTGATTGTAATAAAACATTTGTGTCGAGCATATTGGGAAAAAAATTTCAGTTCTAATATTCGTTACCTCACAAATGTTCATTCTGCAAAGCTAAATTAACGAATATTTGAATAGTCGAGATTTCAGCCCTATCCTAAAGCATGTCTCATGCACGGCTTTCCTTTCCCAACGGTGCATGATTTTCCCACAATTGCGTATTTTGACCAAATTATTGATTATACAATTTCCCATGTGCGCCATTTGTGGGTAAAATGGCTAAATAAGGCTTTTGAGAAGAATATCATAACTTGTCAGCTTGATTTTGATTGTGAAGGGCTGCACTAAAACTGATTTCTTGCTCATGATATTCAACTCCGAAGAAACAATCAAGTTAGAAACAAATCTAAAACATGCATTTGAAATCAAACCAGTCGTCGCACACCACGAGACACAGGTATACGCAATGCAAAGAAAGAATGAAACCATGGACCTACACTTTTATCCTTCTCCAGCCGGGTCAGGACACGCGCAGCGAAATCTTTTCTCTTCCGTGCCGGTGCCGGCTTGCTCTTCTTCTTTCGGCCGTGCTGCGGCTGGGAGCATCCCTTCTTGCCATTCTTCTGCTTGACATCATAGCAATACAGGCACACAACAACAGATCACGGTCATCATACCCCTCACACACCTGGCCAATAAAAAAATCCATCCACATTAATCACTGCATTCTCAATCAAATATTGTCTAGTTTTCCTTTCTTTTCCTTTTCACTTATCTCGTTATCAGCCCACTTAATAGTTGTGTATATCACTGTTGAGGCATCCTATGGTAAGAAAAATAAATACTACTACTAGTCGTTGACAAGTGACGCTCTACGGCTTCAGGAAGGCATTGGCTTATGAAATAAAGCTCTCACTACTTGGCGGGGGATTGGCATACGGCAAGCTTTAAGCGAGTGTATGGTTTGTCTTCTTCCCACACTGAGAACACCTAAGGTATCTTCCCAGTTCCAGAGCAGCGTAGCGCCCCTTGCTATGTTATTTACAAGGTAATATTTCAATGGCCAATATTTTAGAATCACTACTGTATCCTTAATGGAAGTATTGATCCTCAGGCATTCTCCTCCTAATCTAGTCCTAACCTTTTTAAGATTTGATCAAGATGAAAGAACGTTGAGTAATAATACAAAGAAGTTGCAGTGCAGAGCAGTGCAATTTGAGGAATGGCTGTCATCACATTGTTTTTTTTGCATAACATAAGAAACGGATTTTTTAGTAACAAATTCGGCGATAATTATATGAAAGTTCGTTGCTCTCAATGTTCGAGCTTGCACCTTTCCCACTTTTCTGTAATAACATAATGAGTCCGCTGAACGGAAAAGTGGGAAAGGTGCAAGTTCGAACATTGAGAGCAACGAACTTTCTTATAACTATCGCCGAATTTGTCACCTTCATCCCATGCACTCCATCATCTCAGCGGCATTGAAAAAAGACAAATTGCCAACAACCATAAGACGAACAGCGGCTGGTGCCCAAATGCCATCCAACCGGTGGTAAAATGTTTGATATGGAGTTGAATTCGAGAGAGAGATGTGAACCATCAGTCCTGCTCTACACAGAAGATAATGCATACCTCGGCCTCAGCTGCGATCTTCTCCGCTTTTTCCTCCTGGGCGATCTTCTCAAACACTTTAGGCCAGTAATTACCCTCAAAGTATGGCATACCGGTCGGTACGCTGACTTGATCTTGAAGTGTGGACTGGTGAATATCCTGAAAGATCAAAAAAGTGAGAAAGGATAAACAACATTAGATTGCCAGTATAACAATAGGGATCAAACGGCTACGGTTTTCACCTTAACGGTTAACTGCTACGCTAACAGTCGATTTATCGGAGTACAACCTATAAGCTAGAGCAGTACGGCGTGTAGCTAGTTTGAACAGTATAGTACAATATCCTTGTTTGAAATGTACCGTGCGAAATTACTACTAATACATGCAAATGTCTGCATGCTCATTCACATAGATTCACAGACCAGAAGCACACTTGTCATAATCCTAGCATAAGGAGGCACAAACACGTACAAAACACAAACACGTACAAAACAACAATCAGATACAGAATGGAGGCAGATCTGGACACTACTGGTGAGTAAAGAACCTGCAATCTGCAGGTGTTGCATGTTGTACAGAAGAAGCTACAGTCATGTGGATTAAAAATTCTGTCGTGTACCTCTATGTACAGTCTACTCTAGAAGAACTAAGAGAACTTGAGACAACAAATACAAACAAAATCTGGAAACACACAGTGGCCAATATGAATATGCAAACTTACGTCACACACTGGGCAATGGAAACGACTTCCAATAATTTCAGCCATGCAGGTATTGCAGCGGTAGCCGATTACATTGACTGGCTTTGCAGCTCGACGAGCATGCACAGTGTAGCGTACTGCGCGTGCCGCAAAGTTGTAAACTCGAGATGATTCTTACGAAAGTACGCAAGAATTGAATCCCGACTCTCCATCACATTGCCGCTTTGCTGCTCGGCCACATCCTCCGGCATGGGTTTAAGGTTGGCAACCTTTTCTGAAGAAATCAGCGTGATGGTGAAGAATGCCTGGCCAAAAGGAACAAGAATAAAGGTAATGTAAGGAAAATTTGGCAGCAACGAATACAAGAAATCAGCGTAGGCGATAATACCAGCAACACCCAAGGAGCTAGTAAGGCCGTCATCACACTTCATTCTCTGGCTTCCCCTTACGTCTGCGTCCACAGTGAAAAATCCAAAACGGGTAGTCGTGTCATCAAACAGGCACAGTTCTTGACCAGTACACGCGGTCATGTTTTGGAGAAATTTGAAGATTCCCACGTACAAGGTCGCTTTTAAACAGACTGTGGGAGATACACCCTTTTATATAAAAAAAGGGGCCCACTCCCGCTGGCTACCACGTCTACGTTTCCCGTTTCTTCTGCTCCCGCTTTCACTCTGTACATGGATCATCATGACAACCGACCAAAACTTTATGTGGATGTAGACACAGCGCTTTGTACCGTAGTGTGATGACAGCGTAACAGCTGGGGCATAAACTAAGATACTAGTAGAAGGTTCAACAAGAAATGGTTTCACTGAAAGAGTAACACCCAAAGGCAATAATTTTACAAACTAGTACCATTATGAACTTAGAAGTTGCGACTTCGGCGGTACTAGTGATGAAATTGGTTGCTCCAACGAGGAGCACAAACTTCTTGCCGAACTTGACACACTGTGTATTGAGCAGGCAGTGGTGCTTTCTTTCAGGTTTGCCGAGCGGAAGGTGCTACGTGCTTCTCGTGTGCTCCGGATGGCAATCGTGAGTCACTCAAGTGTCTAGGTCGGCAAGAAGCGTGTGCTCCTCGTTGGAGCAACCAACTTTAGTACCATTATGACACACCAATATACTCTACAAAAAATAAGTCACTTTCAAACATCGAATGTTACGTGCGGAAACTCATTTTAATATTCAGATACAAGGGCATACGTTTTCGATAGCCACCTCGCATAATCAAAGGACGACAGAAAACGTGTCGTAATTTGCAATCACCTGTGTCCCACAGATGAAGCTCTATGTGCTGATGGGCTTACAGTGTGTACGTCGCAAACTTGCCTCACTTATTCCAGGCTTGCCCTGTAAGTAGAGAGAGTATTGCTACAACCTAAACTGTAGGACTGAAACGAACACAATTTCTCAACATTCTTGACTCTAACGAACGAACGAACGAACGAACAAATGTTCTTGATTGATAATTCATGCAAATCGTCAGAGTTCTGACAAGGGCATGAATACCCCGCCTCATCATACAGGCAAAAAAGTATACTTCAGGGAGGAAACCAACGCCATTGACATAAAAACCTTCAGCGACCTTGCTTCGCTCTCTGTTGAGAGCAACATCGCCCCAGAAACGCTGTCAGATGGCTCCGTAAGGTTGCACGCTGATTGTAATAAAACATTTGTGTCGAGCATATTGGGAAAAAATTTCAGTTCTAATATTCGTTACCTCACAAATGTTCATTCTGCAAAGCTAAATTAACGAATATTTGAATAGTCGAGATACTCATTTCAGCCCTATCCTAAAGCATGTCTCATGCACGGCTTTCCTTTCCCAACGGTGCATGATTTTCCCACAATTGCGTATTTTGACCAAATTATTGATTATACAATTTCCCATGTGGGCCATTTGTGGGTAAAATGGCTAAATAAGGCTTTTGAGAAGAATATCATAACTTGTCAGCTTGATTTTGATTGTGAAGGGCTGCACTAAAACTGATTTCTTGCTCATGATATTCAACTCCGAAGAAACAATCAAGTTAGAAACAAATCTAAAACATGCATTTGAAAACAAACCAGTCGTCGCACACCACGAGACACAGGTATACGCAATGCAAAGAAAGAATGAAACCATGGACCTACACTTTTATCCTTCTCCAGCCGGGTCAGGACACGCGCAGCGAAATCTTTTCTCTTCCGTGCCGGTGCCGGCTTGCTCTTCTTCTTTCGGCCGTGCCGCGGCTGGGAGCATCCCTTCTTGCCATTCTTCTGCTTGACATCATAGCAATACAGGCACACAACAACAGATCACGGTCATCATACCCCTCACACACCTGGCCAATAAACAAATCCATCCACATGGATCACTGCATTCTCAATCAAATATTGTCTAGTTTTCCTTTCTTTTCCTTTTCACTTATCTCGTTATCAGCCCACTTAATAGTTGTGTATATCACTGTTGAGGCATCCTATGGTAAGAAAAATAAATACTACTACTAGTCGTTGACAAGTGACGCTCTACGGCTTCAGGAAGGCATTGGCTTATGAAATAAAGCTCTCACTACTTGGCGGGGGATTGGCATACGCCAAGCTTTAAGCGAGTGTATGGTTTGTCTTCTTCCCACACTGAGAACACCTAAGGTATCTTCCCAGTTCCAGAGCAGCGTAGCGCCCCTTGCTATGTTATTTACAAGGTATTATTTCAATGGCCAATATTTTAGAATCACTACTGTATCCTTAATGGAAGTATTGATCCTCAGGCATTCTCCTCCTAATCTAGTCCTAACCTTTAAGATTTGATCAAGATGAAAGAACGTTGAGTAATAATACAAAGAAGTTGCAGTGCAGAGCAGTGCAATTTGAGGAATGGCTGTCATCACATTGTTGTTTTGCATAACATAAGAAACGGATTTTTTAGTAACAAATTCGGCGATAATTATATGAAAGTTCGTTGCTCTCAATGTTCGAGCTTGCACCTTTCCCACTTTTCTGTAATAACATAATGAGTCCGCTGAACGGAAAAGTGGGAAAGGTGCAAGTTCGAACATTGAGAGCAACGAACTTTCTTATAACTATCGCCGAATTTGTCACCTTCATCCCATGCACTCCATCATCTCAGCGGCATTGAAAAAAGACAAATTGCCAACAACCATAAGACGAACAGCGGCTGGTGCCCAAATGCCATCCAACCGGTGGTAAAATGTTTGATATGGAGTTGAATTCGAGAGAGAGATGTGAACCATCAGTCCTGCTCTACACAGAAGATAATGCATACCTCGGCCTCAGCTGCGATCTTCTCCGCTTTTTCCTCCTGGGCGATCTTCTCAAACACTTTAGGCCAGTAATCACCCTCAAAGTATGGCATACCGGTCGGTACGCTGACTTGATCTTGAAGTGTGGACTGGTGAATATCCTGAAAGATCAAAAAAGTGAGAAAGGATAAACAACATTAGATTGCCAGTATAACAATAGGGATCAAACGGCTACGGTTTTCACCTTAATGGTTAACTGCTACGCTAACAGTCGATTTATCGGAGTACAACCTATAAGCTAGAGCAGTACGGCGTGTAGCTAGTTTGAACAGTATAGTACAATATCCTTGTTTGAAATGTACCGTGCGAAATTACTACTAATACATGCAAATGTCTGCATGCTCATTCACATAGATTCACAGGCCAGAAGCATTAAAAGTGTCATGAAGTTGATTCAAATTGTAACGGATGGTACTAGGTAGTGTGCATTTATGCATGTGTGCGTACACCATAGGTTGGAAAACTGCCAAATTTGGTAAAAATGCATGCTTCGAAAACTCGAAAAGTACCAGCGTAACCGTTACACAAACTGTTAACTGATATCTTTTCACAACTGGTTCTAAACCGGTTAATCGAACTAAAGTATATCCTCACAAAGAACATGCACAACTGTCATAAATTCAATATGTAGATCACTGACGCTACACTGGAATCTTCTGTATGTACTCCCATGTTGTTTGATACCCTTTGGATGAGGTATCGGTGGCAGATAACTACTCTCGCTACTCTGGAAATCAACAAATTTTGGACGGTGAGAAACTTTGGCCGATTTAGAAAAGATCGTTTAATAATTGTTGCCCTCACGGGCAGCCATGGGTGGATTATGCATCATTTGCCTCGATGACAAACTTTGGCCTGCGGTTAACTTTGGCCAATTGGCACCAAGCGGCGGAATCAGCGAAATTAAATGGCCAGCGAAAATGAGTTGATTTAGAGCACTTACGCGAAACTTGATAACAGCTTTTCGAGCAACTGCACTCTCCAGCATTGTCTTGTACCACTCTATTAGACGCTCTTGTGTGAGTATCCTTTGCCCAGGTGGATGACAGTTGAAAATATAGTCTTGGTTTTTATCAGGAGGGTATGCCCAAAGGTTAACAGCGACAAAGCCTCGCTTTGCGACATAGTCCTGATAAGCGATAAGCAGCTCATGATACACTTGAGTACGCAACTGCTTTGGCCGGAAGAAATGGACACTGTCCAGATACGAAAGGTATACATGCCTACAAAAAAATACGCAGAGAACAGAGAGCAAGTCTTGAAGAGATTTCACTCAGCAGTCATCAGTGTTACATGTAGTACATGCACTTGTACAGCAAACTAAACAAAGTCAAAGACGAGAGAGAGAGAGAGAGAGAGAGAAGGAGAAAGAGAGAGAGAAAGAGAGCAGGAGCACAAGATGGATATAGACAAGAGTAGATAAACAAGAGTGTGCAACTCCGCATGGGTTGGCCCACGGCGGAATTTTTTGTTGACGTAATCTTTTCGACGACGCACGCGCTGCGAGCCTTTTGGAGAGTTTTCCCTCGTGCACTTGGCTGGGCTTTACACTGCAAGGTCGGTGCCCAGCACGTGCTCTCACACTGCTCTGCGGCAAAGCCGCGTTTCTCTGAAAAAAGGTGACGTAAACAAAAAATTCCGCCGTGGGCGCGGGGTATCTGCAGATTGTGCAGGAGAGATCCGGAGTTGCACACTCTTGTTTATCTACTCTTGATATAGATCTTACCGCCTATTAGGCTCGGGACAGTCAGAATCAAACTCATGCACGATCATGCCAAAGAAGCACACGTCCTGGCCATCAATTTCCACAAAAGCAAAGACAGACTTTGCTACATAAGGAAACTCCTCCGGGAAAGATGTAGCACTTAGCTCCTCAAACCTGGCATTAATGGAAGAAACATACACATACACGCACATGTACACAGAAACACACACACAGAGTTGAGTATAATGAAAAACGTTGGTTTGTATGACAGATGTATGATGATTTGTGAAAACTCTCCGCACTAACAGAGGTCCATGTGAATAAGCAATACTAGTACACAGCGATAGACAGGTACCCAGTATATTCCTACTAGCCACAAGGAAAACACCGGAAAACATACCAGAGATTCCTGCCCGTTTTCTTGAAGTACCCTTAGATCTTTTTTTCTTGCTTGAGAATACAGTAGGTATACTATGTTTTGCACATTCTTTGGTGCACTATTTGCTGTTCAAACCTTATGACGGCACAGAACCTTAATAGGTAGAATGTCATCTTTAGCAAATTGAATAAACAAAAGTCACACACTAGATTGATTCGGAGAGTGCTCTTACGACAATATATGCCTAAATATGCGTGGAAAAAATTGAAAAAACAACAACAACAGCACCAGCACCACCACTGCCACCAACAAAAGACATTACTTACTTTTCTTTGGTTGCATCCTTGACCTTCACTGTCTGCTTTCTGCTGGAGAGCACACGGATGTGAACGTGGCCAGCTTCACGGTTCGTATCAGCAGTTTTAAGGTTAGCGTTGATTCTCTCCTCAAGGTATGTAGCCAGAGCATTGCGCGGCAGTGCTACAAACAACAAGAGAACAAGTCATGAACAAATATTTAGGTTTTCTCCAGGTGAACAATAAGACCAGTATCAATGCCCAGATTTCGCCAATGCCAGATAACCCAATAACTAACCCAGTCGTCCCCCCTCTCCGCTCTCTCTCTCTCTCTCTCTCGCTCTCTCTCTCTCTCTCACCCTCTCTCTCTCACCCACTCTAACTCTCTCTCTCTCTCTCACTCACTCACTCACTCACTCCCGCTCACTCACTCACTCACTCACTCTCAGTCACTCAGATTTTGAGGTTGAAGACTCTTCAGGTGCAAGGCAAGTGGTTGGAGTGGACATCGGTGATGTGGCAGGACCTCTCGTGGAAATCCCTTTTGTACGGTGGTATTGGTAAGGATTTGAAATTTCTTCTTGCGTCAACCCTCGACGTTCAACCTTCTTCGACGAACCTACGCCGTTTGTGAAACACAGTAGTGGATGCGTACTGTAGTTTGTGCCGTGCCTGGGCCTGTACTATGCGTCACGTGCTTGGCGCTTGTCGCGTAGCGCTAGACCAGGGACGTTACACCTGAAGGCACGACAACGTACTCGGGGTCAAAACTGGAGTTTTTGCGTTTTTCGTCGCGAAAGAATTCGTTTGCACCCACCAGACGTCTGTGGGTCGGTTTTATGGGTCAAATCGCGATACATCCCAATCACAATGATGCCTAAAGTTTGTGTTCTTCCGCATAACGGGATAAAAGTCTCTGATGCTGCAGTGCAGGCCGAAAATGAAGAAAATGAAAAATGCGCTTCCTGAAATTTCCACAAAATGGATTTATCTCGTTTTCAATTAGAGCCCTTCGCATGTTCTTCAGGCGTCAGTGGCCCAGCCTCCCTGCCCATCCGACTCGCCACACCCAACAACGCAACTGAACTAGAGATTCTACATAAAAAGGAGGAGGAAAAAGAGAAGAAGATTGCTGCTGAGGCCGAGGTATGTATTTCCCTAGCTGTGTTGCACTTACAACCGTAAGACCAGATATAGTTCTGTACTGTACGAGTCGTAGAATTGTATTCTGGATGGAGTTGACAACCCGGGTGGCAGGTCATTTATTTTTCGGTTGAGGTAGGTGTGCGTGGTTTAACGTCGCAGACTCTCTTCGGAGGACTCTGAAAGTGGTTGCGTTTTCTAATGGCACAATAAAGTATGGACTCGGATGGAGAGCCAAGGGTAAATTTATAGTATAGAAAAAAGGATCAAGAAACTAAAAGTTACGCTATAATGTCCACTAACACCACAAGTTAAGAGTGGAGAGCGCTTGCTTGAGAGTTGAACCCGGGTTCTAAATCCACCATTCCCACCCGGTTCGCAAGGCTGGGCGGAGTTGTGAGCAGGCTTTCACTTC